TTAATTAGGTACATCTACCACACATGTAGGCGTGAACGTCGTGTGCGAACACATACTTCTTTAAAAAACTATACTTACCAAACTGTAAGTTTTAATTAGGTACATCTACCACACATGTAGGCGTGAACGTCGTGTGCGAACACATACTTCTTTAAAAACTATACTTACCAAACTGTAAGTTTTAATTAGGTACATCTACCACGTATGTAGGCGTGAACGTCGTGTGCGAACACATACTTCTTTAAAAACTATACTTACCAAACTGTAAGTTTTAATTAGGTACATCTACCACATATGTAGGCGTGAACGTCGTTTCGGATTTTTTTGCTGAGAGATTTATCAAATGCAGTCCTGAAATTCCTCTAAAACTTAGTTTCAGACCATATCTATGAAAATGAGGCTTTAACTGCAATTAAAAACCGTTAACATTATTATTGAATTCTCAAGTGACTTTTTCGTGACCATTTCCTAAATAATTTTCATCGCATTTTCTTTTCTCTGTTAATTCTCGGGTGTCTTTTTCATGACTATTTTCTAAATACGTTTCATCGCGTTTTCTTTTCTCTGTTAATTCTCAAGTGACTTTTTCATGACCATTTTATAAATAATTTTCATCGCATTTTCTTTTCTCTGTTAATTCTCAACTGACGTTTTCATACTATTTTCTAAATACGTTTCATAGCGTTTTCTTTTCTCTGTTAATTCTCAAGTGACGTTTACATGACCATTTTCTAAATACGTTTCATTGCGTTTTCTTTTCTCTGTTAATTCTCGGGTGTCTTTTTCATGACTATTTTCTAAATACGTTTCATCGTGTTTTCTTTTCTCTGTTAATTCTCAAGTGACGTTTTACATAACTATTTTCTAAATACGTTTCATCGTGTTTTCTTTTCTCTTTTAATTCTCGGGTGTCTTTCTCATGACTATTTTCTAAATACGTTTCATCGTGTTTTCTTTTCTCTGTTAATCCTCAAGTGACGTTTTCATGACTATTTTCTAAATACGTTTCATCGTGTTTTCTTTTCTCTTTTAATTCTCAAGTGTCTTTTTCATGACTATTTTCTAAATACGTTTCATCGTGTTTTCTTTTCTCTTTTAATTCTCAAGTGTCTTTTTCATGACTATTTTCTAAATAC